CAGTCACCATCAGCGGGAGGAGAAGAGGGGAGCTCCAGTCACTAGGCTCCCCATACACACACCAGGCCCCAGGCAACCCCACCCTGTTGTCTGGGCAGCCTGGCCCTGGGACAGCCTTGTGCTGAGGCTGTGGAGCGGGACGTTCCACTAGCTGAGGCGGCATGGGGCACTGGGGCCTTGTGCCAGACGGTTCCCCCTGCCTACCAGTACCAGACATGGAGGGGGCTGGGGAGTGAGGCTCAGAGGCAGCCTGCATGAACGTGGGAAGGACTGGCCAGGCCCTCAATGCCCCGCCCTGGAGCTCTGGCCACCTGAGGGCCTCTAGCTGCCAACAAGCTCTCTGCCCCACCCCTGCCCACTTGGCACCTCTCCTGTGGTTGGCTGCAGACTCCTGTTTAATGAGGCTTTTCCCCAATTCCAAGGGAAGGCTGGTGGACAGGATGAGCCCACTGCCCACCAGCCCCTCCCCGCCCCCTACCATCTCACTGCCCTTGTCACACACATACATACCAGGCCAGAGGCTGTAGGCTGAGCTGAATTCTGAGGTTTCCTAGGCCTAGCCTGAGCTGTGCTGCAATCTGGGGCTTAACAGGCCTGGCCAAGGAGAGTCAGCTCTAGCTTTCCCTCAGGCGAGAGGGCTCTCCAGGGCTTCCTGGCCAAAGCTGGCCCTCTCCAGGGAGGATGGTTTGCTGAGAAACCTCCGTGGAGCCAACTTCTCCCTGCCTTGAAGCAGACACCCACCCCACCCCACCCCTAGCAGAGTGGGACTCCAGAAATGTCTTCCTAGTGCTGGCACCTTGGACCCCAGGCTCTGCTCCTAAGACTTCCCAGCGTCAGAGCTGCCCACTCTACCAGCCAGGCTTATAATCCTGAGGGCTGAAGAGCCAGAGCAGGGCCTTCTGTGAAGCAGAAGCTTAGACTTGAAAGCCTGGTTTGGAGGGACTTATGGAGGGTGTTCATTCCACCTATTGGGCCATCCAGGCATTTGTGCCCTTAGGCAGTAAATGGTGGAATGCCTTCCGCCAAGGTCCCAGGTTCCTGAGGGAGTGGGCCCTGAGGCTTAGTCTCCCTGCCTGCCATGAGGCCTGGTGAGGGCTGATGTTGTCTGGCTACCACTATCCTGGGAGCCTATCAGGACAAAAAGGCCCCAGAGGTTTCCAGGATGCTTCCCACCTTCATAGGCCCTTGACTTCTGCTCCCAAAAATAGAATAAAGCAAGATTTTTGCATCTGTGACCAATGAGGTAGGCAGGGCTAATATTCTCATCCTCATTTTACAAGGGGCAAACTGGCCCAGGATCCTGTGAAAAGGTCGGTGAGCATAGAGCTGGGCTTCCTAACCTACTTCACATTATGGCACACTAAAAATTATCACTGGAATAACTAGAGAAGGAGGCTGGAGGCTGAAGCACCCATGGGAAGTCCTGGGCATAGTGAGCAAGGAGGAGAGAGGAAGGTAATGGGGTTAGAGAGGGAGTGGGGGCCTGATCATATAGAGTTTTGTAGGCCTGGGTAAGGCTGTTGGAGGCTCTAGGCAGAAGAGTGACGTGATCCGTGTGGCTGTTGGACGGAGGACTGGCTGAGGAGGCTGTAGGAGGCTGCTGCAGTCGTCCAGGTAAGAAGTGACTTTGGTTTGGACTGGGTGGGGACAGGGAGGAAGAAAGAAATGGTTGTATTCTAGATATATTTTGAAAGTAGAGCCATTAGGATTTGCTGACAAATTGGATGTGGGGTGTGAGAGAACAAGAGAAGAGTCAAGGATGACTCCAAGGTGTTTGATCTGAACAACTAGAAGAATGGAGTTGCCATTAAGATGGAGAGGAGCGTTTGGGGCAGAAGTCAAAGGTTCTGAATTGGACATGTTTAGTGTGGGTAGTATTTTAGACCTCTGAGTAGAGCTAATGAGTAGGCATTTGGAGAGTGGAGTTCCTAGGAGAAGTGGGGGCTGGAGATATAATTGTGGAGTCATCAGATGAAGACATTTAAAGCTGTGAGCCTGGGCCAGCCCGGTGGCTTAGTGGTTAAGTGCGCGTGCTCCGCTACTGGCGGCCAGTGTTCGGATCCTGGGCGCGCACCGACGCACCGCTTCTCCGGCCATGCTGAGGCCGCGTCCCACGTACAGCAACTAGAAGGATGTGCAGCTATGACATACAACTATCTACTGGGGCTTTGGGGGAAAAATAAATAAATAAAATTATAAAGCTGTGAGCCTGAATGAGAGCACCCTGGGAGTGAGAGTAGATAGAGAGCTGAGGGCCAATCTCAGGTCAGGTCAGGAAGAGGATGAGGAGCCAGAAACAAAGCTGAGAAAGAATGGCCTGTGAGGTTGGAGGAAAATCAGGCAAGCGTGGCATTCTAGAAGCCAAGTGAAGAAATATTTCAAGTCAGAGGGAGAAATCAGTTGTGTCCTATGCTGCCGAGAGGTTAGGTAAAATGAAGACTGAGAATTGACCATTGAGTTCAGCAACTTGGAAGTCATTGGGGACCTTGTCGAGTCATCTGGTGAAGTGATGAGACAAGAGACTGGCTAGGTTGAAGGGAGAACGAGAGCTGAAAAATAGAGGCAGTGAATGGCTCTGACGAGGTTTGTAGTAAAGGGGAGTGAGACATAAGGTGGTAGCTGGGGGAGGATTTACAGATGGGAGAAATGGCAGCCTGTTGGTACCCTGGTGGGAACGAGACTGGGCTTGCAAAGTGCTTGGCACAGTGCCTGGCATGTAGCACGTACTCAGTACATGAAAGATTTCACATGTATCCACACATCTCACAGCTGTCGTAGCTCATTCATCTCTCTCTGGCCAGCCACCTGCAGGCCTGAGGATCCTACATTCCAGCTTCCATTCCCATACACACCCCAGCCTGTCGCAGTTGTGTCTAGAGTCAGTGCTGGGGATAAAGGAAACCCTGAGAGTGGCATGAGCCTCCCTCAGCTTGCTCAGGAAGCCTGGCTTGGAACAGCAACAGGAAAGTCACAGCACCCAAGGCCTGAGGACAGCATGGCCCCATCAGGGCCTGGTGATGCTACCAGTCGGCAGCCAGGCGTGCCTGCCTTCTTCAGGCAAACCCCCCTTTGGCATAATCAGACCCAAGTGTCTGGCCTGTGAGGCCCAGCACTACAGGCCTATGGAAGCACTGTGAGTAGCATTTCCTATGCACCTGTGAAGGCTCTTCAGGGTGAATGAGGGGTTTCCTACATGTCCCTTCCTCATTACCTAACCCCTGAGTAATTGAGCTCTGAGGTATTGTCTGGCTTTATCTTCACAATACCCCTATGATCATCTCCATCTCCATCTGACAAGGCAACAGATGCTCAGATATTGTAATAAGTTCTTGAAGACCATACGTTAGAGCCAGGATCTGAACGTGTTCGGCCAACTCTTCCTCAAGCTCACGGTGGAGAGCCCTCCCTGGGACTGACAGAGGGAAGCTCTCCTGCCCTGCCCCAGGAGGCCAGGAGGGGGCTCTAGTCAGAGGTGGGGCTTCAGGCTCAGGAAGGGGCTATGGTGCCACATCCACGCCAGCTGCAAAGAAGGGGCTAACCACTATTAGAACATCAACCCTTGTCTGCCTGACGACAAAAGGAAGGCTGATTATTCCTGGAACATAAGGCTCCTCCTGGTGGGCAGACGGATGAGCAGGAGACTGACAGGTGGCAGGATCAGCACCTTCTCCAAGCCCTGAGGGGAAGGGTGTTAAGTTGTAGCCCAGCCTCAAGCTCCTCTGGAGGCAGCGATGGGGGAAGATGGTTGCCAGGGCTCTTGCTGGGAGGTATGGGACCCTGCTCACCTGGGAGCCTCACACCTTGGCTACTGTGTGGTTCATACTGGGCTTCCCTCTAGCCTCACCCGGGCCCCCAACAGCCAGTGCCAAGGGAGCTGTGCCAGGCCGCCTCACCTTGAGCTACCCTAACCTTCCCCAAAACCTGGTGATGGAGGGATCATGAACCCCGTCCATTACACAGGAGAGGAAACTGAAGCTCAGAGAGGTTAAGGAGTCTGGCTAAATTCACCCAGTGGGAAATTTCACCCACAGGGTGAGGAGGAGCCCAGGCCACAGCCTCTCATTACTGTCTTGCCCCAAAGATGTCCTCTGTTTCTTCTGTGCCACGGGTCAGACGTCAGTCATCTGTGCTCCCAGCCAGTAGCATCCCCACAGATGGACTTTTCCGAGTGGAAGCTTAGCTTCAGTTGTAGATGATGTCTCTAGGGCCCTTGCCTGAGCAGGTGGACGCTGAGGATATGCAGAGCTGGGCCTTGGCCCTGAGCAGCAACTGCCTGTGGCTGGGTTGCATGGGGAGCCCCCTTCCCAGCCTGACTGAGTCATCTCATGATAGATCCATGTGACTAGTGTGAAAAGTAAGAGTCCTGCGGTGTTGAGGAAACAGGAAGTGCGGGGGCTGGGCAGGTTGGCCCCGGAGGGAGCCAGGCCCCACCTGGCCCAACCTCCCCTGAGTTAGAGGGCTGAGGGGAGGCCTTCCCTCTGTCAACAAATCCTGTTAAGCCTGAGGTGGGACAAAGGGTCAGACTTAGGACCCTCAGTCTCGGGGGCTGGAGGAGGAGGAAAGAAAACTTTAGGCTGTCCTGGGGTACACCAGGTCCTCAGACTATGCCCTGATGTTTGGGGCCAGAGGCTGTGAGCAGCCCCCTAGACAAGCCATACAGCTTCAGAGAAACTGGGGGATCTGTGAGATCGCGACAAAGGAAGAATTTCCTGGACAGGGGAGATGTGCCTCAGAAAGTGCACAGAAAGACCGAGAAGCTCTCTAGGAAGTGGGACTGCTTGGGTGATGTCTGGGGGGTGGTGGTCAGGAGGGCAGGGCCACTGGACACAGGGTGGATTGTGTGGTATCCCCTCCCACGAGACCTGTGGTTTTGACCACCGCACTTTGCTTTGACAGTTGGGCTGCCTGTACAGGGGCTCTGCCTATATGTATGCCCCTAGCCCCATGTCTTCCTCCCTCAGGTCTCCCCACTTTCACCAATCCTCCTTCTCATTTTTCAGCACAACAAGGCCAGTCAGCCCACCCACGGTGTCCCCCAACTCTCTCCTCTCTATGAACATTTCAGCAGCCCACACCCCACACCTGCACCGGCGGATATCAGCCAGAAACAAGGTATGGGCCTGGGATGGGGAGGGGCCCAACAAGATGCAGAGACTAGGGGCCAGGTCTCTGTCTTCTGAGACCAGGTGGCTGGGCCCTTTTTACAACTGGAGTACCTGGGGCTGTGTAAACTCAGGGCCCAAAAAACAATGCCAGAAAGAGGGATTGGGGAACCTGAGGGCACCAGAGGGCTGGGGGAGGTGGTGTCAGGTCAAAATTTGAAGGCTTCCAGTTGAAGCAGGAGCCTAAATCCTGAGTGACCCACCCAGTGCCATTATGGCAACAGGCATTTGTATAAAGCTGATAACTATAAAACTTGTAGCCTTTCCCTCCCCACAGTGAGAAAATGGAAAGTGGTGGTTGTGATGGCTGATTCACCTCAGCCTCAGACAAAGTCATTCTGAAATCAGCCATTGTCGGCTATGGGAAACCTGCTGACTCAACCTTGGGCAGGGTTGGGAGGGGGTAGGCCCTGGCTCCCCAGAGGCCAGGCTCCCCCAGACCAGGGGGCCTGCCTCCTGCCCAGAAAGCCAGGCCAGAGCCCCCAGCAGAAAGGCCCCAATTGCAGACCAGCAGTGGACCAGGGCATGGCAAGGCTTGGCCTCCCACTCCTGAATGACTTCAGCTTTACCACTGGCCAGCCAGTGCCCTTAGGCAAGTCACCCAACCCCTCTGCCCTTGGTTCCCTAGCCTGTAAACAGGGTACTGTTATCACACTGGGATAGTCCTGAACAAACCAGTATGTCTGGTCCTCTAGCAAAGGGGGGTAGGATCTTAGAGGCCCCCACAGGAGGCTCTAGAATGCAGTAACTAGCTGAAAGTAGCCTCTGGGTCAGGCTAGCTCACATACTCCATCCCTCTTCACTGCAGGAGTTCACAGGCCTCTACAGACTCCTGACCTCTCTGGCTTCTACTCCCTGACCTCAGGCAGCATGGGACAGCTCCCCCACACCGTGAGCTGGTGAGTATGGGCCCAGTGGGAAAGGGGCATCTTGGGCTGGTTGGACCTGGACTTGCCCTTCCATTTTCCTCCTCTATCCTTCTCTACTGAGCACCCTGCTGCCAGCTCTATATAGGTACCAGGGGCTGGCCTGCAGCTCTATTTATTCCCCAGGTAGCCTGACATATTCTCTTTGGGAAGGCAGGAGACCTGGCTCCTGGTCCCAGTCCTGTGACACTTGAACTCTGCCTCAATGTCTAAGAGACTTGAATGGGGGAACCCTGGGCTGCTCAGGGCCATATGAGGATGTGAGGAAGAAAAGTAGGCCTGAGCAGGGAGGTGACAGCATGAATGGCCACAAGAGAGGCTGTTGCTCCTCAGCCTCCTGGTGGGCAGGGGGATACTTTCCACTTGCCTCAGTGTCTGCTGCTGGCTGGTCCCTTTCTTGACTGAACTGCTTGAGGGTCAGGGTCCCTCCTTGCCCCTGTGGTGCCTACTTGAGCCCAAGCCCCCGGCCAGCCTGCTTGGAGAGTCTATTAAGGCTGGGCCAAGAAAAGCCAGCCTGGACCCCAAGTCAGTAGGCCCAGTGTAGGCCAAAGGACCTGTCTTCAGCTGGAGTTGGGCCTCAGCAGGGTATTTGGCCCTTTACTCATCAACTGCAGTGTGACCTGGGCAGGTCTCTAGTCTCTGGGCTGTGGCAATCACCCAACAGCAGGAAAGCTTGGCTTCCCAGGAAGGCCCAACCTGGGGCCTGCCTGCCCCTTTCTACTTGCCCTTTATCCACGTTCAGCTTACTCTTCCATTTCCAGATTCTCCTTGGACAAAGCTCCACTCTGAATACAAATCAGGACTACCCCCACGAGTAGCTCCAGGATTCAGGTGTGCCAGGCAGGGTTCTGGGCACCAGAGAAGCACTGCTGAAGCTGGCTGATCCTCAGGTCCCTGCCCTCTCAGAACTCAGTCCACCTAGTGCGCAACCCAGGCAAGAGGCCAATTACAGGGCAGTTAGCAGTACTTTGGGGACTGTAGGAGCCCAGAAGGGTGCCTCATTCAGCTTGGGATCTCAAGGGCTTTCAGGAGAAAGGGTCATTTAGCCAAGCAAGACCTGAAGGATGACCAGGAGTCGAAGCAGGCAAAGTAGGGTAGAATAACAATCCTGACAGTGTCAACAGTGGGTACAAAGGCCCTAGTGCAGCTATCAACCTTGTATTGACAGGGAACTTTCAGGAAGCGAGGCTGGAGGGGACCTGGGGCCCTGCTAAGCTAGGTCCCCAGAGAATGCTGCCAATTCTACCCCTTAAGCACCAGTACAAGCCTGTAGAGGGAAACTGGTGCAACACATGTTGCCCTCTGGTGGCAGATGCTTAAAACACAAACTTGAGTGGTCAAAGCAGAGGCCGATCTGCCTCACACTATGGGTAAGGCCCAAGCAAGGTGGGGAAGTCCTTCCCCACATCTGGCCAGTAGCCAGACTGCTAACAGCTGTCTCTCCCAACCACAGGCCCAGCCCTCCTCTCTACCCCCTGTCCCCTTCCTGCGGATATAGACAGCACTTCCCTGCCCCCACCGCAGCCCCTGGCGCCCCCTACCCCAGGTGAGTCCCCTACCCTGCAGCCAGGCTCCTGCTTCCTGTTGCCCAGGCTTCAGTGCCCACACGAGGCCATGCCCAGGCCAGTGCTTGCCCTGTGCTAGTTGCTTGTCCATCTGTCCGTCTGTCATTCTGCAGCCCCCTGCTGCCCTGTGCCTGAGAATAAGCAGTGGGAGGGCAAGAGGCCTACACTTAGTCCATACTGTGCAACAGAGAACAACACAGAGCAGCCAGACAGTGCATGCACATGTGTGCTTGTGCCTCTGCCTCAGCCCACGTGCAGGTGTGTGTGCACTCACCTCTGTTATGCATCCCTGCTGAAGGAAGGGCTGGTCAGGACGACTCTCCTGGGCATTCCCTGAGCTCTACTCAAGCTGAGGTAGCACCTTTTACATGTGTCTCCAACCTCTGGCCCTTAGAAGTTGCCTGCTCAGGGACACCACACCTGTGCAAGCAGCAAGGGGCAGAATGGTATTCACAGAACAGCAAGAAAGTGAAGTGGGAGGTGTGTGTGTGTATGTGTGTCCCTTCACTTAGCTCACTCCCTCAGTGACACACCCATGCGAAGTATGGAACAAGCAATTCAGCAGACAGTTCCATCCCTATCAGAGCTCACAGCCCAGGGTAGGAGGTAGAGAGAGCACCAGCAGTTGAATAAGTTCTCTGGGTACTGGGGAGGCTCCAAGGAGACCCTAGCCAGGACTGATGGGTCAGCAAGAGCTTCATGAAAAAGGTAACATTTTCTGAGTGAGAGGAACAAAGGGAACAGCAGTAGTTGGGGATGGCTGGGGGTGGAAGTGACAGGAAACAGAGGGGAAAACATGGGGCTAGAAATGTCAGCAGGGATGGTAATTCAGGGCTGTGCAGGCCCCAGGGAGGAGGCTGGGTTTTATTGTGTGGGAACTGGGGGAATTTCAGTAGGAGCGGCCAGGAGCACTCAGGTGTTTTTATTTTTTTATTTTTTTAATTTTTGTGGGGAAGATCAGCCCTGAGCTAACATCCACAACGATCCTCCTCTTTTTGCTGAGGAAGACTGGCCCTGGGCTAACATCTGTGCCTGTCTTCCTCCACTTTACATGGGACGCTGCCACAGCATGGCCTGACAAGTGGTGCATCAGTGCACACCCAGGATCCGAACCTGGGCCGCCAGCAGTGGAGCGCGTGCACTTAACTGCTACACCACAGGGCCGGCCCCCTCAGGTGTTTTTAAAAGGTCACTCTGGCTGTTGTGTAGAGGGAGGCCTGGAGGGGTCAAGTGGGAGAGTGAGGAAGCCCACAGGGCAGCCACAGGCTCATGAGGCTAAGCTGGTTAGGGCAAGAGGTGAGAAGGGAACAGATTCAAAAGCTCTTTAGGACTTAGTAACCACCTGAAGGATGTATATGTAGATTTCGCAACATGTCTGTGTAATGTGTTGGGAGCAGGTATTTGTATGTATCTCGGTGTACTTGTGTGCAGACCAGTGGGGGTGGGGTATGTGTTCACCTGTCCTTGTGTACTGTGCAGGGGCCTCCGTGTGTCCAAAGCTCTGGCCTCTACATACCTGGCTCAGTATTAACTCCCCTCCCGCCTCTAGGTTCACCCACCCATCCCTGATGCTAGGCTCCGGCGTACCTGGTCACCCTGCAGCCATCCCCCACCCGGCCATTGTGCCGCCTTCAGGGAAGCAGGAGCTGCAGCCCTATGACCGCACCCTGTGAGTGAAAAGGCGTACGTTGGGGGGAGGGGGAAAGGTGAGCACATCTCAGGTTCCTCTTGATTCATCAGCCAGGACTCTTCCCAACAGGCCGAAGGCCTGCTGCCTAGAAGCTCCAGGGACTACCAGAGGAGGCCTCTGGTCAAGTTGTCCGTGGCTCTTGCCAATGACCACTGTTTTTTGACTCTCAGAAACAGGAGGGAGTGGGTGGGGTAGAGAGCAAGGATTTAGTTTGAGTCAAGAGGGGAGGGCAGAGAAGTCCTTATACATACTTTTCTTACTTAGCTGCAGTATTTCCGTAGGGAACAGTTATTTAGCTCTGCTCATCCATTTCGGGGCAGCTAAAAAAAAGATTCCGTTTACAAAACCCTAGTATACATGCACTCACACACACACTAGAGGAGGGTGGTAGCATTAGGTGCACACTGTGGGGACTCCCAAGTGACCTGGACATGTTTTTCAGGAAGACACAGGCAGAATCCAAGGCAGAGAAGGAGGCCAAGAAGCCCACCATCAAGAAGCCACTCAATGCCTTCATGCTGTACATGAAGGAGATGAGAGCCAAGGTCATTGCAGAGTGCACACTCAAGGAGAGCGCTGCCATCAACCAGATCCTGGGCCGCAGGGTAAGGCCACGGGCAGGTGGGCTGGCAGGGGCAGCTCCTGATCATCTTCACCCTGGTGCAGCCTGCTGACACCCTGATGCACCCCACCTGCCCCCCCTTCCCCATTGCAGTGGCACGCGCTGTCACGGGAAGAACAGGCCAAGTATTATGAGCTGGCCCGCAAGGAGAGGCAGCTGCACATGCAGCTTTACCCAGGCTGGTCGGCGCGAGACAACTATGTGAGTGACCAACAACACACAGTAGGGGCGAGTAGGAGAACCTTTCAAGATGTCATGCCCCAGGCCACAGTTTCAGCAGGGAAGGCAGGACTACTGTCCTGAAGGCACAGATGAGGAGGGAAGGTGATGGAGTGGAGGGTCCAGGGTGTCCCATGGCTAGCTCAGAAGAGGGCCAAGCAAGGGGAGCTGCCCTTAAAGGCAGGCCCATGTCCTGTTTTCTACCCCCACACAGGGCTGTTACCCAGTATTTGATTGGGCCACATGGGCAGAAGGGGAGAAAGGGGCCTGGAAGTCACCCCCTCCATTCAAAATGGAGACCAGTGTGGGAAAGGGAGGAGGAGCACCTAACTGCCCCATGGTAACCTAGCAAAAATTGCAATCAAGAAACATCAGGGCCCCCAGGTAGGAGGGGACCGGGTACTTGGAATCCCAGTGGCAGCCAGGCTAGGCAGAAGGCTGCAGGTATCCCAGCCACTTGCTCACTGAGGTTATGGCGTCCACCTCCCAGATCTGAGCATCCCTCCTTTTGTTCCCTGCAGGGGAAGAAGAAGAGGCGGTCAAGGGAAAAGCACCAAGAATCCAACACAGGTGAGGTCTTACCTCAGCAGTAATTGAGGTTCCTTTCCAGGGCTCCATTTGACAAGTAGCCCTGCTCTTGCCAAGAGTACTCCGCCACAAACCTTCAGGGCCTGGGCCCCCTGGAAACAAGGCCTGCGTCTCACAAGTCAAATCCCCACGTGAGGAACAGCTATACTAAGTCCCAGGGAAGACCAGCAAAAGCAAATTCATGTAGCAGTGATGTGTTGACCCACAGCCCTCCTGCCACCTTTGCTAGCCCTTGCCAGAGCAACTAGTGAGGAACTAGTTGTTTCAATGCTAAACCTAAACACTGCATCCTGGTTAGTTCTGCTGAGGTGGGCAACAGGCTGTCCAGGTGGAGGCTGAGCCAGGCCTCCTAGGCCCAGTAGTCACACGGTCTGGTAGCTGGTGCCCAGCAATTTCTCTGTCACTGCCCACCCCCCGCCCCCTCCCCGTTTTTCAGGCAGTGCAAAGTGCACTGCATGGAGAACCCAGGGAGCCCACACCCTGCTGCAGGTCTCCTTTCTGTGGGTGAATTCCTGCCCCAACTCTGAAAATTCACACTTCACATCCATGAAGGACTTTCTCAGCTGTGCTGCCCCCACACGGGGAAGCTGAAGGCTAGGATGGGGGCAAGGCAGAGTCCTCAGCCATTTTTCTGAAGTTGAAGAATGGGCTCGACCTTCCATCTGGAAAAATGTGTAGAATAAGCTTAAGCTACAGCATGAGGAGATAAGAGTCAGGCACACTGGGCATTGGCAAAAATGAAGGAAAACTGGATAAGATCTTAGGGCAGGGAGTTGGGGAGGGGGGTGGGCAGCCCTAAGACAGAGGAGGCTGGATCCCCATAGGCCTCCCTGGGCTCTTCTCCCGCAGCTCTCATGCTGCAAGGGGCCCTATAAGCCACAGAGAAGAGCAGCCTGATAGGGTCCCCTCCCTTCCCACCCTCACCATTCTTCCCACTGCCTCTACTGTCCAGCTGGGTACCCACCTTTCCTGATACCTTGGCTCTGGGCCTTAGGGCTCCCACTGGGGCTGGCTGTTCCATGGACAGGCCCACTCTGCCTGTGGGGGCTGTGGGGTATCTGTGACTGGCTAACACTGATATTACCTCTTCTTTCTGGGCCCTGCTCTGCCCTGCTGCCTGCCTGCTCGCCCTCTGCCCTGCTCTGCCCCTCTGGCATGGCTGTGAGCAGACCCTGGCTCGCCTAAGAAATGCCGTGCTCGCTTTGGCCTCAACCAGCAGACGGATTGGTGTGGTCCGTGCAGGTGGGTTTGTCCCCACCACCATCCTCTCTTTGCTTCCAGCTGCTTCCCTGACTCTGCACATGTTCTGCTGGGCCTGCAGCCCTCCTTTGGCCCCTCAGCCCCCCAGCTACACACAGATTGGGGAGGCCATGCCTCCTAAGAATAAGAGTGAACACAGCTTCTGGGGAAGATCACTTGGGTCTAGGTGGAAGGAGGGGGGAAAGACAGAATGTTTTAGAAGGGAAGGAAAGGCAGACTCAGGAAGGTAGTTCTGGTGCCTAAGGTCTTCCAGTAATGATGGTCAGGTGCTAACTAGGGCTAACGGGTCCTTAGCAGACAAATCTTACACACACCATTCAGGTGGCCTAAACCCGTTTCCAGGCCTGAACATCATCTTGGCCCACCAGCTCCCTCACTTCTTTAAGTTGGGATCCCTGCCTATACCATCGTGAACCCTTAAATCTAAGAAAAACAAGGTGACTATAGTAGAGAACAACCTGGTTGCCAAGTGGTCATGTGACTCATTATCTTATACCTACTGAGACCAGAGAGCTGGAGAGGTAGGGAGAGAGGAGCAGGAGTACCACTGGGCTATCCTAGCCAAAGGGCTATATTCAGGCCCTATGGCACTAAACCTGTGTGTTTTATCATACAACAGAGAAATACTTGGGTATGTGAAAAGAAGGTCGTATACCTACCAAATGGCTCAAGTTGCCTAGCTTAGGTTCAGGCCAGACCTGGTAGGGCCGAAGCTGAGGCTACTCCAGGCAGTTGAAGTTCACTGACTCTAATGTATTGAATACTCTTCCAGCCCCTCAGAGTGCCCACCAATGCTCCCAAGTCCAAAGGCAAAGAGGAATTCAGGGGAGTAGGTATATGTATATACACATGATGGGAGGCAACCCTGTCCTCAGAGGAGGCGTTCTTCCATCCATTCCACACTACTCAGACAAATTGTGGCCCAAAGAACTAAGATAGTAAGAATAGGTGAGCTCCACAAACACACAAGAAGCAGAGGCTCAAAGGCCCAGACTAGGAGATGGCCCCCCTGGAAAACAGGAGGCAGCCCACAGACCTAGCTACAAAAGGTCCCTGTGCCACCTTGTGGCTGTGCTGGGAACTGCATGTGGCCCACGTCTGGGCCAGGCCCAGCAGAGTTACAGTGCTGATTCAGGTCTGAAGGCACAGGTACATAACCCAAGTCATGGGGAGAGGGGACAAGAGGGCAACTAGGCCTATGCAAGGACAGCATTTTTTGGTTGTGGTGTATGACTATGAATTCACCCTCTGTTTACAGATAACTCTCTTCACTATTCCTAGGAGGAAAAAGAAATGCATTCGGTACTTACCCGGAGAAGGCCGCTGCCCCAGCCCCGTTCCTTCCGATGACAGTGCTCTAGGCTGCCCCAGGTCCCCAGCCCCCCAGGACTCGCCCTCATACCTCCTGCTGCCCCGCTTCCCCACAGAACTGCTTGCTAGCTCTGTGGAGCCGGCACCTACATCACCGGGTCTCTCAGCCACTCTCAGCCTCCCAGCCCCCTGGGCCCCCACAGGACCCCCGCAGCGCCCTGCAGAACACACAGGTACAGCAACAGAAATCTCAGAGACAGGCAGCCTAGCATGCACAGGACACCTGCCTTCCTCCAGGGGCCCACCCTCTGAAAGGAGGCGACAGAGCCCCAAAGCACGTGGAAACCGATTAGGGGCCCTGTTAACTCCCTCTGAGGGTCCCGGCCCTGGAGATTTCAGAGGCTGCACAACTTCTGCCTGAACCTGGAGCCATCAATTCAAACTGCTCCAAGTGGTGGGAATGAGACCTGTGTTGTGCCATCTGATTAAGGGTACCCCTTTGTGCCCCTGGCAGCTGCATCCATTCTTTTCACCATCTGTCTTGCTAGCCAGATGCCCCTTGCCTCTCTTGCTTTTCCGCTATAGGACATAGATGGGCTGGACTGAGCCCAGCGGCTTTCCCTACCCTGCCTCCCCACCACTGCCGTGCCCTCCCCACACCAGACACTTCATGGACCAAGAATGAGCTGGTTTATCAAACAACATGTGAGCATGGTCACAACCACAAAGCTCAAGACGACAATGCTTCTCTCTTAAGGGCTTGGAGAAGCCCTGTTTACAGAAAACCAGCTGCTATTCATAAGCTGGACAAGAGGACGCCTCTTGCCACATTCTCAGCTTACAAGAAGAGGAGGGAATGGAGTAGGTTAAGTTTAGGCCTATCACCCTAGGCAACATGAATAACCTGACACTACCTGATCAGGCAAAAGTGTGGGTGGTGGGGGGTATCTGGCTCTAGTTCAAATTACTTGGAAATGTTTCCTGAGAAACTCAACTGCCTAAGAAGCCTTGATACCAAAGTCCCAGGCCTGTCACTAGTGGTTGCAATCAACAGTTCAAAGAAGTCATGGCCCAAAATCTGGTGTGCATCCCTCTCCATTCTGAGAGCCTTTTTCACAGCTCTATTTCCAGCTTATCCACATCAGGCTAGCCAGCTTTTGGGCAGTCAGTCGTAAGAGAGGGCAAACCAAACCTCAGGACAGCCAGTGCCTATGTTCCAGCATGAAACCAGGCCAGCTTCAGTTTCCCTATGGGGCTGTAGGAAGGAGGACCATTACAGCCAAAGCAAGGAGCCCAGAAAACCTCTAGTGGTGGACAGTGGGTTTTCACCAGAGCCTACTTTAACCCATTTCTGAGCCAAGCTTCAACCCTGAGCCTTAAAAAACAAAATTTTTAATTTAACTTTGTTGTTTTTTTGCCTCCTCCTCACTGTACATAGCCTGAATCCAAAGAAAAAGGGCTGTCCCTGTACCCACACACCCCCCTCAACAAAAGCCTTTAGATCCTACTTCAGCCACTGGTTTCTCAGAATCCAAAAATCATATATTCTAGTATAGTGTTGCAAGAAGTCTTGGGAAAGAAAAAAGGACCATTGTAGTGTTCAAAATATTTTTGTATTGTTAACGTGTCATCATAGAAAAACTTTTTTAACATGAGAATAAAGATACTTTTTACTGGGTTTCTTTTTCAAAGCTTGACCCTGAGAAATAAGCTGTTTTAGTAATAGCCTGACACTCTTTCCTTTTCTTCTCTGAAGCCATGAAACTTGGGGTTTACTCTCTATTATGGTACACATGTTCTCAAGATTTTCAACCTACAGAAGCCAGGGATTTCTCCTGTCATCTCCGCTTAAGGGGCTTGGGCCCTGCCCCAACCCTAAGAGCTGGGCTCGTGCTGGGTATAAACTCACATTCCAAGCCTTGCTCTTAACCCCCCAATCCTCTGACCTCACAACCGATGCAGGTGCGGGCCAGCCTGCCCCCCAGTGCTCATATGAGAATGGGTTGGAAACTGCCACCCACAGACCCTAAAACAAACAATCTAATCAGAAATAGGTGCACATGACCACTAGACTCCATTTTCCTCTGAAGGCAAAGAGAAGAAAACACCCACAACATCCTATTTCGAGGAAAACAAGAGCAAACGGGTCTTTTATGACCTGGTATCATCATAAAATCCAAAAGAAGGGTATGTGAATACCACTCTCCCAAAGACTGTCTTTTAAGGTGCTTGAAGTGTCTTCATATTTTTATACGAAATCTCTGAAGTTTGCTAAATCTACAACCTACTTTTTACACAGCAGTGTCCATCATGTTAATATATACTGTTAACTTCCTAAGACACACCATGAATGTAAAAGGTGTCATAAAGCCACCTCAATAGGTCGATCAACCATTAGATACAAATGTTGGGCATCTGACGTGTATCACAACAGCCAGCCACTGGGCCACCATCATGCATTGTAATTTTCACTTCACTGAGCTATATTTTTTGGATTTTTATGTTTAAAAATATTTATAAATAAAGTCATCTTCCAGAGTAGTGTCTGTTTAAAGTAGGCCACTGGAAGTTGTAATCCCAGACTTGATTTTTTCTGGAAGGGTACTAGAAGAGACCAGCTATTCTCTCAACAACTGTCCTATTTAAAGAAAGAATCCTGCTCTGGCTACTGGCCTAGTTGTTTCAAAAAACTACATTCTAATCAAGGCTTACGCAAGACTGGGTTGCTGCATCTGATTTGGTGTCTTATTTAGAGTACACTGGGTACATGAACAATGCACTCTTTGTGTGTGTGAGGGTAGAGGGGGGGCTTTGCCAACTTGATTAAAATCAAACCAGCCTTTTAAAAAAATTGACTTCAAAGAAGAAATTCAAATCCTCCCAGATCATACCAGCACATTCCTATGAGGCCACAGGGTGACTTAAGAGTGCAGCCCCGAATTCAACTTCAAATACCACACCAGTCCCATCTCAGTGCCAGCCAAGAACCAGCCCTGTTTTCTTAGACATAGGACAAGATACCCCACCCTCCCTTACACATTCCCAGACAACTCGCAGATTTGCTTCAAATATAGACCTTGACCCTTTGCTGCAGCTGTTCCCCCTGCCCTCCTGTGCTCAAAGGATATGGTGAGGGCTCAGCCCAGCAAGGTAGCGGAGCCTTCCCAAGTCTCCCAAGTCTTCCCCTTTTTACAGGAAGCCACATGGCCAGACTATTCTGAGCTGTAAATATCTTTTGAATGGCCCAGAAGTGCTGCTGCCCAGCTCTAGTCAGTGTACAATAAGCCTGGCTATGAAGGCCACAAGTGCGGGGTAGCAGAGAGGTTCTTTACACTGTTTCAAAGAAGAAAGGGAATTGGTTCTTGCATGCATTTCTAGAAAAACAAAGAGTGCAGAAGGGGCAAGGGTAATGAGGACTTTTCAGGCCTATGTATCAAAGTAGAAGATTTGAGGGGCCCGACCAGTGGCGTAAGCAGTTAACTGCGCATGCTCCACTGCGGCAGCCCGGGGTTCACCGGTTCGGATCCCGGGGGCGCACCAACGCACCACTGGGCAAGCCATGCTGTGGCTGCATCCCGTATAAAGTGGAGGAAGATAGGCACGGATGTTAGCCGAGGGCCAGTCTTCCTCGGCAAAAAAAAAAAAAAGGATTGGCAGATGTTAGCATAGGGCTGATCTTCCTCACAAAAAAAAAAAAAAAGATTTGAGATCAAAAACTTCCATTATATAAAAAAGCTGAATTGGCTTTTCTTTGAAGTTAAAAAGGCTGCTTTAGCATGACTTTTTCAGGTCTCTTCAGAGCTTTAAGAGTTCACCAAGGGTTCTTTGAAACAGAGCTAGCAACCCAAGCAGACCCTGGTTCCTAGATTGTGTCAACTCCCCCAAGCCCAACTATTCCAATCACCTTCTGTTTCAGATCTCAAGTCACCATGAGTCTCTTTATAACTTAGACTCCTGGGCTCTCTAGTGGTCTGGAGCATCTAAAAGACCTTCACTGGCCTATCTGTCCACAACACGCAGTGGGGGTTTGAGAGGAGACCTAACTTCATGTAGTCAAACAGCAGGGAGTTTTAAAACAGAGAAGAACACAGATGGGGATGTTCCCATAGCCAGGTCCCTAGAATAAAAGCCTAGCTCACGTCAGAAGAGATTTTAAAGTTGTTAAGGACAGTATGGGACTGGGCACAGAGTTAACTGGAAAGGTCAAATTCTGTCCAGGGGCTAGGAACTATCCTATCTCGAGCAGTCCTCATGAGTAAGGTCACTAGCAATACAAGGAAAGGGATATTTCAGCAGCTATGAATTATATGGGAGCGGGAGCCTAGTTCAGGCTGACACTTCTTTCAAGTGTCACCAGGAGCTCTGGACCAGGTCTTCCTTTTTCATTCAGGTGTTTTCTCATTCCTTTATCTGAAGTCTTGTTCTTCCAGGCATGTGCAGTCAATGTTGGCAGGGGAAAAAAACATGGACGAGAAGGAATTAAGTAACACACACACACAAAGAGCCACTCTGGAAACTCCTCTCAAATATAGTCTTCTGAGAGTGTAGCCCTCTGGATTCTCACTCCTCCTTATTATAAGCCTCCGGGGACAGAAATACTGCAAAACATTTGAAGCAGTTAAGAGTCAAAGTTTGTGAAATGGCACACTCGGCACAGAAAGGACAAATATGAATTTGCACCATACAGGTGAGAAGTATTGAAAGGGAGAGCACTTTTATGGAATACGCTGATCCTGAGAGTGCAAGAAGAGGCTGGCATATAGCAGGTTAGGTGCTCAGTAAATAAATACTTTCTCAAAATTTCAAAATTGAGCAGTGTCAGAAGGTCATGAGAACTAGATAATGTGGAAGCAGATATCGTTGTGAGCAACTATATTCTTCCCACAAAATGCCTCTCAGTAGTGGCACAAAGACCAGATGTAGTCAACAGTGCACAATACTGCAAGGCAGCAAGTATGTCATCCATGAGTTAAGAGACTGTCACTCAAACGAAGTTCCACACTGGAAATCTGTCAAACGAGAGAACACTTTCACCAACACCTTTATGCCACCAACAATGCTTGGATCCACTGACAGCTCAACAGGAAGGACAGCATTCAGTCTACCCTGTTTAGGTATCCATACAGCTCAATCCTGGACCAAGGGACATGTTCTAAACTACTTCTTACACCATTCTTTGTCTTAATATGCACAGCCAGTTCTCTTACTCATTCTCTCTGCCTTTTCAAGGTAGTGATTTCAAATAACAGTAAACAAGAAAAAGTCATCAGGACTCAAGTTGTAAAACCCCCCATTTTCAGAATACGTTAGTTCAATATTAAAAAAAGTTTTAGTTCAAATACTCAAAAATTGCACTGCCTAACATGAGTCTGATGAATACTCTTCCTAGAGTGTCACCAAAATTCTGTCACTAATCCTCCTCTAATATCTCTTTCCAGCCTAAAGTCCCCAGCAGACCCACCGACACCCAACCTTCTGCTGCTAGTTCCAGACTAAGCGCTGCTTTCCCCTTCAACTTGGCATCCCTCCTCCCAAAATAAAATCAACTTGACTTTTGAAACCAAATTAGTTTCTCCTCATGGAACCTTTCCTAGACCCTTCCAGCCCTGTAGCCCCCATCTTCTTATTAATCATTTTTCCCCCCCTCTGAGGAAGATTCACCCTGAGCTAACATCTGTTGCCAATATTTCTCTTTTTCATTGAGGAGGATTCACCCCGAGCTAACAGCTGTGCCATCTTCCTCTATTTTATATGTGGGTCACCATCACCTGCTGACAAGTGGTCTATCTGTAGGTCTGTGCCCAGGAACGAACCCAGGCCGCTGAAGCAGAGCACACCAAACTGAACCACTAGGCCACGGGGCTGGCCGCTCGTCAATCTTGTTCCGTCCAGGAACATTTTTATTAGAGTTACTTATTCCCTCCCAGCAGTATTATGCTTTGCCTCCTTAACTACACCAAAAGCTCCCCAGAGGGCCACCATGTCTTACAGTTCCTACAAAGAAGTCAGGAGCTACACTTTAGGGAATTCAACCATTTCATATGCTTTCCCTTTACTTGCAATCTTCTCCCTTATTCTCTACTTCTTTCCTAGCTGGAAATCAGTTTTCACACAAATCCAGATAATTAAAGATTATCATGTTTTTAAAGCTCAAACAACTTTGGGTTTTGTTTTGGTTTTTGTTTTTTGTTTTTGGTGAGGAAGATTAGCCCTGAGCTAACATCTGTTGCCAATCTTCCTCTTTTTACTGAGGAAGATTGGCCCTGGGCTAACATCTGTACCCATATTCCTCTACTTTATACATGGGACGCCTGCCACAGTATGGCTTGATAAGCAGTGCGTAGGTTCGCGCCTGGGATCCAAATCTGCGAACCCCAGGCTGCCCCCACTGAAGGGGAATGCACGAACTTAACCACTAGGCCACCAGGCCAGCCCCCTCAAACAACTTTGTAGGAAGAACATTTATTTGTTTGATTCCTTCCCACCTGAATGTACACTGAGCTTTAGAAAAAGAAAAGTCAGAAAGATCTTCAAATGAAAGTGCTGAAGCAAAAGTTAAGCTTCAAAAGATAACTGGGATTCTGATGGCTGTGGATACGGTAAAGAACACTCAGAGCAAGAGGTCTGCTGCTCTCTCAGTTCTCTCTCTTTCCTGGTGGAAGCTACTTCCTATCCCTG